TTTTAGACTTATGTGCATGTTTGGTTTCGATCCCCGAGGGCTCGGGTGAGTTTCGGATAGGCCACGGGATGTTTCGGATTTGGAAAAATCTGGTATTTTGCTGCAGCAAGTGTTCTGGCATGTCCTTCTTCGCGTTCGCGAAGGTACTCCCGCGAACGCGAAGAGTAAACTGATGAGGCCGGAATTTTCTTCTTCGCGAACGCGAAGGCTTGGTCGCGAACGCGTAGTGTTAGGCACTGGGGGGAGAGTCAGTCTTTCCTTCACCGCGAACACGAGCAATGTCTCGCGAACGCGAAGGCCAGGGGTTAGCCTACGTGAACGCGAACAAGGTCTCGCAAACGCGAAGGCTTGGCAGCCTATACCCTTCGCAAACGCGATGAACACTGTCGTTCATCACTTAACAGAATTCAAAAACGGGAATTGGCCATTTATTTCTTTTTCTCAAAAACCAAATGGACTAGAGGCGATTTTCAAGAGTTATTTTCTTCCCCAAAGTGTTGGTAAGTGATTCTAAATCATTTTCTTTCAATTACCCATTATATTTTATGAATTATCAACCTAAAATCTAGAGTTTTCATGGTAGAATTAGGTGTTTGGGTAGAAACTATGGATTTCGAAAATTTGGGGATTTAGACATCAATTTGAGGTCGGATTCCAAAACTAATTATATATCCGGACTCGGGGGTGAATGGGTAAATGGATTTTGGTCCGAACCTTGGGTTTAGACCAAGCGGGCCCGGAGTCGACTTTTTGGAGGAAAATTTGGGAAATTTAATTTATGCTATATAATTGATTCCTTTAGCAATATTTGATATTATTGAGTTATTTTTTAATAGATACGAGCGGTTTGGAGGTGAATTCTAGAGGAAAAGTTGTGATTGAGAATTAAGTGGTTTTCGGAGCAAGGTAAGTGTTGTATCTAACCCTGACTTGAGGGAATTAGGAACCTAAGACTATTTGCTATGTGAAATTCATGTGAGCGGTGTATATGTGAGGTGACGAGTACTTATGCGCCGCCAATTTACCTGTTTTCCATGTTTCTTTCGTTTTTCTTATATTGTCTCTTTCCTATGCCTAATTGCTACGTGTTTATACTAGTGTTGTTAAATTGATCGTTCTTATCATGTTTACGGATTTTCTGGTGATAATTGAGAATTTATTTCAAAGTTGAGATTGATATTGTGGAACTAAATATTGAAATAAGGCTTGTACTTGTTATTCTATCTCCATGTTGTTATTTATGCATTGCATTATGGTAAGGGAGAGTGTTAATGCACAAAGGGTGATGTCGTGCCATATTGTGAGTGTTAATGCACGAAGGGTGATGTTATGTCATATTGTGAGTGTTAATGCACGAAGGGTGATGTCATGCCATATTGTGAGTGTTAATGCACGAAGGGTGATGCCGTGCCATATTATGAGTGTTAATGCACGAAGGGTGATATCGTGCCATGATATGAGAGTTAATGCACGAAGGGTGATGTCGTGCCATTTCTATTGATTTATGGTGAGATTGAGAGTAAAAACACGAAGGGTGATGTCGTGCATTTTTCCTTTACTGTATTCGTTGTTTCTGTTGATTTATAATGTATGGGTTGTTCCAGTGATCATTCTGTTGTAGTTCCTTATCTAGTATTTCCCCCAGCATGTTTCCCCCTCCCGATAATTTCTGTCTAGCTCTTCATTACTATTATTTGTATATACACTGTTAAATTGTACAGGTTGATTTGTAGGTATCTTGCCTTAGCCTCGTCACTACTTCGTCGAGGTTAGGCTCGACACTTACCAGTACATGGGATCGATTGTACTGATACAGCACTCTGCACTTTTTGTGCAGATTTTGGTACCGGCTCGGGTTGATCGAGATTTTAGTTGTTGGACCCGCTATCCGGAGACTCAAGGTAGATCTGTCTGCGTTCACAGACCTTGAAGTCTCCGTCTATCTTTTCAATTTTACTGTTTCTTTCATCCAAACAGTTGTATTTCTTTCAAACTATTACATGTAGTAAATTCTAGAATGCTCGTGAATTGTGACTCTAGATCCGGGTGATATTTCGCACTTATTATATTTTATTTTAGCTAATTATTATTATTTACTGAATGAAAATAAGGATTTGGTTTAATAATTCTCTAACGTTGGCCTGCCTAGCAAGTGAAATGTTAGGCGCCATCAAGGTCCCGACGGTGGGAATTCCGGGTCGTGATAATTACTTAAAAAATTTACAGCTCATTTCAATGTCTTTTACACTTCTCTTCATTTCATTGGCACTAGTGACCTCTATTGTAATATCATTCTCGGCACGTTAGTCGTGTTTCATATCTCATGCTCACTTCTTTTGCCTTCAAACACCACTAAGGATTATCAACAACAAAGCATTTATATTCAAGACCTTAAGTACACATGTGAGTAAATAAGGGTCTTATGCACAATGAGATTTCTTACACAATTCGACATGATAGCTTTCATTAGAATTACGTCTTGAAGTCATAACATGTTAACACACAACCCATACTTAGATCACATTTTCGAAGGATAACACAATAAGATAAAAGCATTCGGAATAATCAAATTTATAATGATCAACTCAGGGCTTACAAGAACATCGTGGGATTCCATTCTAAGAGAGAAGTTTAGCTAACATACCTCGCCTTGAGCTTCATGAAATTACTACAATGATTCGGAAATCTTAGCCACTTCGATCTATTTGGAAATATAACAAATAGAACACAAATTAGGAAGGAGTTCATGGTTCCAACTCATTTGAGCATTTTATCAAACAATAGATGGGCATTATGATTTCAAGGTCCTCCTATGGTGGATTCCTTCATCCCACTACCCAAACTCTACCCAATTGCACTCAACAATCTTCCCACAAACCTTGGTAGTACATGCATGCATAATGAACAACTCCCACACCCAAGAATTGCTTTTCTCATTACCTATTTTCAGTTAAATCCCGAAATTGAAGGCTAGGGAGTAGAATCTTACCTCTAGGATGAAGACCTAGTGAGTTTTCCTTGTTAATTCTCCAAGCCTTGAGCAAGAATTGATGAACAATTAGTTTAGGAACCCCCTCTCACTCTAGAGCACTTCCTTACTCTCAAAATATCAGATTTTTACTTTACAAATGGCCCTTAACGTCTATATATCGAAATATGGTCAGGTTTAAAAACCAGAAAATGGACCATCTGAACACAGCTCTGCGATCGCAGAGTGGACCGCAGAATGGATATGTGGCCGCAAACAGAAGTGATGTCAAGAACTGGGCTATTCGGGTCAGGTCTGCGGTCCGCGGACCAGTTCTCAGTTCTGCGGTCACATAATGCGCCGCAGAACTCCCCTCCAGAAATCTTTATGTTGCATCTGCGATGGATTGTGCGGCCCGCGAAAGCATTATGCGGTCGCATATTGGACCGCAAAACAACCCTCCAAAATTGGCCATTTTCTGTTGCACTCTGCGGCCGATCTGCGGCTCGCAGAGTGATTCCGCGGTCGCATAGTGGACCGCAGAAATGCCCTGCTCTACCAAAAAATTTCTTCAACTCCCCAACGCACTGTTCAACCCAAAAAGTCCGTACCGCAGTCATCAACACATAAGTCCACTTGGCATCACGAAACCCCGAGTTCTAGTGAAATTTTACGGGCCTTACAATAGGTTCAATTCATGAGCATAAATTGAAAGTAGAAAGACTAGTTTTGGGGTGGAAAAAAAAATTTAAAAAAATGCCTAGACCACGGAAGAGAATTGTAAACCTAATTCATCCAGCAGGCTCTATTGATCATGTTCTGCTGTCTTTTAATTTTTATGACCAACATGGGATATAATAGTATGAAAGTGATGTACCATCATCTCTGTTGTTAAATTCTTAATCAAATCCTTTCAAAAGTTGGCTCATTCGTTCACATTTCGAAGAAATCTGCTCCTAAGAGAAGCTCCCTGAATTGACCACATGATCTCGTGAATGCACTTCAACTGAATCTAACGCACCTTCAGGAAGAAAAGGAGTATGAACATGCAAATGTGGTGCCCAAGGGTGTGAACTAACAGTTAGTGAAACTGAAATGAATACCATGAAAAGCCAGGGATCAAGCACCAGTGGCGGCAACAAAACTAAGGTTATATCTTCCTAATTGCCTAAGCATTGATGGGCATACCTAAATTGTTGGGAGGATTCATGTGAAGCATAGCTTCAGATATGAATGAAAAGTAGCAAAAAAGAAACTCTAATTTAAGGGATATGAATAAAGATATATAGACAAACATTAATGCATGTTACAAAAGCTTTGGAATGAAAGAACTAAATTGGAAACTGAAACCTCCTAAAGTCAGATGAATCTGACAGTCATACGGCCAATTGAAAACTATGTCATGGCCAAACACTCTGCCTAATATTCAGATAATCTCCCTGAAACAATAGATTCACAGTGCTATCCTCCTTCAGGAGAAGCATACATAAGCAGACACATTAAAAAAGAAAAAGACATCCCAAAGGATTCAAAACTAGAGCAACTCCGAAACCCACCAAAATTCTGAAATATATTCAGAATCATTACATTCTTTCTTGGCTATACTCTACTACGATGAAACAGAAAACATTGCAAAATCACCAGAAACAACCTAAGCTGAATAGGAAAATCAAAGGCATAACGCACCCTGCAAAGAATGATGCCAAAGCTTTCAATTGGATATCTTCTTTCTACGACCTCCTCTTTTTAAGCCTTTGAGACATAATTTTTTTCTACTTGGCACAGGAAAAAAGTAGTTAATACAAATTCAACAAGATGACAAGTTTTCATAGGCTAAAATCCACCTTGAATGCACACATTTACACTGTTCTGCTCAATAGACATTCCCTGGTTCAGAACATTATTCACTCCAACACTTCATCCAAGAAACTGCTCTATAGAATGCGAAAAAAAAAGGTAGGAAGAAAAGCCAATGCATCCATCAATTCAAGCAAATCTCTTCCACATCAAGCAAAAACAACTTTCAGAAATATGCTTTGCAACTTTGCTGCAATTGAAGTACAATAGTAGCAAGCTCAAAGGTAGCATAAGAACAAATTGATTAATGCCAGTAAAATAATGTAAGAAAGCATGAAGCGAAGTATCTCCAAACTAACAAAACAAGCCTGAGCAGATTTAGGGACGCATTAACGCAGAACTGACCTTTCATTAGATAAACGTACAAAGAACATCTCTCTACACAAGAAAATACTGTACGGAATATTATCCTTAGTCTAACCAAAACAACCCACACCCACCATGGCCCAGTCTTCACATTCAGATCGATTGAATGCCCAGATCACTAGTATTTTTGTGAGCATGTGACCTGCGAAAAAAGGCAATTACGCCACAAGTAATCGCAAAATCATAACTTGATTACACAAATCAACATCTTTCTAATCCCACCTTGATATTACCATTATTCATGCTACAAATTATTGACGCGAGATACTACCATTCGATTCCCAGCATTGGGATTTACCATATGCTGATCTTGATCCTGTTCGGTCACATTTACCATCTCTCTTTGGCCATTCGAACAGTCCAGTTCCCCAGATTTGTCCTCCTCAGCTCCAGTAGCAGCGCTATGATTAATAGCAGATATAGTAGGGGTCACCATTGCACCCCTGTTCATCTCCACATCCATTGCAGACCCATTAGGCAACCCTGGGACTGGATTCTGCCCTTTCAAGTCCACAGCATTCAAAGCTACTAAAACTTCAGAAGAACCATCCAACCTATCTGCGGCATTCGCATTCAGGACATTATTCACCTCCTCCAATGGCACAGCAGCTACAACCATACTAAGGCATTGATTATTATTACTACTGCCTCTGTTGTTCACATTCGAAGGCAACCGCAATACAACATCCTTCTTCTTCATTTTATCCCTAGCATCAAGGTAAGCAACATGATCTAAAGCTTCCCTAGCTCGTTTCCTAGTAAACGCCGCGTCCTTCGCCCTCCTCTCCGCCTCCACCTTAGCAGCCACAGCAGCTTTATTCATAGTCCCGGCGGCGATCCTCGCGGCCGTTAACAAAACCCTAGCTGCCTGCTTATCAATAACCATAGCATCCTCGTTAACCACACCGACAACATCGTTTCCCTTTTTGAGGGTAAAAACAGGGGAATTAGGGTTAACACAAAGGGGACAAACGTAAGGGTGAGGAGGGTTGAGGCCCACGCAGGAGTTGTGAGAGAGTGAATAGCATTTTTGGCATGAAACGAGGCCGTTTGAGGAAGAGGAAGGGGGAGGGGAAGGGTCGTAAACGAGCAAGCAAGTAGGGCAAAATGATTGAGTGTTGAGTCTGAGGACACAGTTAGTGCAAAGTCGCCGGAATATTCCTCGGTGACGGACGTGGTGGAGAAAACACCGTTCCTCGACGCCGCAGTTGCCGCATGCGGTGGGGACAGGGAGAGGGGCGACGGGGATAGTGGTGAAGTTTTGTTTTGTCATTTTTGAGATTGTAAGAGAAGATGAAGCATCGAAAGGTGAAATCTGAAGAGTAACTTCATGTATATTTGTGATGATTCTGTGCTTTTTCGGAGAAGGAGAGGAAAAAGGTGTTTTCAATGTTTTTCGATAGGAGAGAAAAATTAGGGTTTCATTGGTGAGGAAGACGAGGGAGGGAGACAAAGGAGGTGCTTTTTGATTGGCTGACTAATTACTCAAACCAAACGACAACGTTTTATAGGGGGTTATATTAGTCCAATTACTCTTTTAATGTGCATAATTATTGACGAGATGTTAATTGTTTTTTTGGCTATTTACAAATTTATTTTTAGTTTTATGATCATAAATTTTTTTACACATGCAAAATTTACTTTTATACATAAAAGATCTGTCTTTTACACATAAGAGATCTAAAAATTCTAACAACGCTCGGTTTGAAAAAAAACTCCACATATATTGTTCTTATTTATTTATTTTTGGAAATCGCCAAAGTGTGGGTAGTGAAGAACTAGAAATTGGTCAAAGATCCAAATATTGGGCCTTATATAATTAATTAAAAAAGGAAGTTAAAGGTGAACCAACACTTGCATTAAATAGAATCGCCACCATTTAATGTTTCTATTTTTGGATACTATTGGTGAGGAGCATATGACAATAATTGGCTTAAACTCATCTTTGACTTCAGCTAGAGAATTTTTCTCTACTCTCAAGTTAGATAAAGAAATTTGATGGTTAAGAGCTTTATATGCAAGTACCATATAAACTTAGCAATTTACGATCAATATTTTTTAGGGAAAAGGGCCTGATATGCCCCTCTACTATGGTATACTATTCAGTACCGTCCAATAAAGTAGTATATTTGTCCCTATTTTAACGGTTGGGACATGTGGCACTCTCTGAAAGACCAAGACACTCCATTTCACTAAATAACCTCCCTNTCACCGTAAATAACACATAAACAAAAGATCAAAATTGAGAAAAGGAAAAAAGAACGGGATGGGTTCCATCTAGGGTTTCCGGCAGTGACAAAATTTCGGATCTAAGACTCGAGATATTCAAAAAGGTGAGTTATTTCTTCAAAAAATTGATGATTCAGCTAAGTCAAGTTGTGTTTATGTTAATTTTGTTGAAAAATGTGTGATTTCTACATAATGTTTCGAGCTACGATTTTTTCTTTTCTGGTAAATGTGCATATGTCTGTTCTTATACATGTTTCCTGCTCTATTGTTCGTCAATTTATTGTTATTTTCTCGTGCATGTGCATCTTTTGAGGTGGTCCCTTAATTTCTGATTTCTGATGGTCTATTAGGCTTTTATGTTTCTGGTATTTTATATGTTTAGCTCGTTGGTAAGGGCTACAACAGAGGTGTTATTTTATTTTTTAAATAATGAAGTTATTATTTTGAGCTGTGTGCTTTTGGTCGTGTATGATTGAATGGGGTCCAAATATCCATTATGCATGTGATTAAGTACATTGGAAAGTGGTAGTTCTGCATTCTTTATTGTAATGTTCTGCATTCTTTATTGAAGAGTAACCATCACTGTTTTTTTTCATTCTTTATTGTTTGATTTCTGATTTCTTTATCAAGTGAGGTCCATTTTGTATAAAGTATTACTTTATGGTCATAAAGTTTTTACATTGTCTTATTTATGTTTGTAGATGGTTCTTGTGGACCTAGTTTTCAATTATAGGGGTGACTGGATTACAGAGCCACACCTAGTCTATTCAAAGAAGTTGGTCCACATCTGGAAAGATAAAGATTCTGACCTATTGTCTTTTAAAGATATAGTAGATGAATACATTTTTCAGTTAAGGTATATAGAGGTACAACAATTAATAATTACTAGCCCATCTAGTAAGTATTATAAAGTTGAAGGAGATATAGGGATTAGCCAGCTTTTATGCCTTGTCTGTGAGGAATCTAAGGTACTAAATGTCTATGTTGTAGATGAGTGTGAAGAAAGTATTTGTGTCTCAAACATTGTCAACCATATTGAGGCTTATTTATCTCCAGTATTAGTTGGTACTGATGATAGTAGTAGTAAAGATGAAGATGAAGATGAGGCAGGTTCTGATGGCTTGGCCTATGATTCTGAAGAGTTAGAACAATTTGAGGCAGAAAGGAAAAAGCATCGTAGTGAAAACCTTAATGAATACAAAGAGATTCATAAAGGCATGTCTTTCAAGGATATTCCTGAAGCTAGAATGTTCATGAACCTTTATTCATTGGTTAATCAAAAGAAATTAGAGCTGTTGAAAAGTGACAAAATTAGAGTGAGGTATAAGTATGTACAGGGCTGCCCATTTAAATGTCTTATATCTAGTAACAAGGGCAGTGAGGGCTGTAGAGTGAATACAATAGACCCAAGACATGACTGTAATCCTGTTTTTATAACAATAGGGTTGAATATAGCACTATAGCTTACTACTTCAAGAAGAAATTGCAAGACAACCCTAAGTATAAGGTGAAAGAAATGAGGGAAGACTTGAAGAATTCATTTCAACGTAATGCTAGTAAAATCAAAGGTTAAAAGGGCAAAGAGAATGATATTGGAGAAATTGGAAGGGAGTTTCACTGATGATTATAACAAGCTTAAAGCATATGCCAATGCTTTGAGCGACAGTAATCCTGGAAGTGATGTGATTATTAATTTATCTAAAGAAGCATTGTTGCAAGGCAAAAGGAAATTCCTTAGGATGTACATTTGTTTTCAGGAATTAAAGATGGGGTATAAAGAGGACTTGAGACCATTTATTGGGCTTGATGGTACATTCTTAAATGGGAAGGCTAAAGGACAGCTACTAGTTATTGTTGGGCAAGATAATATGAATCACTTTTATCCACTTGCTTGGGTTGTAGTTGATAGAGAAAAACAAAGAAGTTGGACTTGGTTTCTGGAGCTTCTTCACAATTCATTGGACTTGAATATGGGCAATGTAGTCACATTTATGTCAGACATGCAGAAGGTATTATTTCATTACTAATCTATTATAACTTTTTCATTACTAATCTGTTATAACTTTATCATTACTAATCTGCTAAAATATTTTGATATGTGCAGGGATTAATGGAGGCAATAAAGACAGTCCTTCCTGAAGTAAAGCATAGGTTCTATACGAGATATGTAAAGTAAAACTGGTGCAAAGAGTACAGAGGTCTTCAAATGAAGAAGTTACTTTAGTGGAGTGCTTGGGCAACTTATGCAAAAGACTTCAAGGATCAGTTGGGACAGTTGAAGGAAGCAGCTATTACAGACTTGTTAAAGTACCCACCCTAGAGTTGGTGTAGGGCATACTTTGACACTGTCTGTAAGAATCAAGGTGTGGATAAAAAATTTACAGAATCTTTCAATTCTTGGATATTAGAAGCTAGATACAAGCCCATCATCAAAATGTTGAAAGATATAAGACTCAAAGTAATGAATCAGTTGAGAAAGCATGAAGATGAGGTGAGGACATGGAAGACAGACTACAGTCCTCAAAGCATGAAGCTTTATAATGACTATTTGAAGATAGCTCATTCCATTGAGGTTGATTACAATGGTGATAATGGATTTGAAATAGTAGAAGGGGTTGACAAATTCATTGTCAATTTACAAGGGAAACGATGCACATGTAGAGCATGAAATCCCATATCCTCATGCAATAAAAGCATGCTTGTATATAAGGTAAGACCCTTTGAAGGAGATGCATTGGTGGTATAGCAAAGAAGCCTTTCTACTTACTTACAAGCATAAGTTACAGCCTGTACCTGGTGAGAATGTTTGGAAGATAGATCCATCTTAAGCCATGGAACCTCTAGAACTGGTGAATCAAGCTAGCAGGCTTAAAGTCAAAAGAGATAGACAAAATGATGAGGCAAGTAAGAGGCAAAGGGAATGGAGTCAGTCTAGAAAAGGCAGAATTATGACTTGTGGTAATTGTGAAGAGGCAAGCCATAATGCAAGGGGATGTAAAAAGGTATAAACCTAATTGTTATTTATGAACATGTTATTATACTTAATTGTTATTATCTATTTCTTTTTTGCATTAAACAGCCATTGACTGGGCAGAAAGTGACAAAGAAGAAGAAGCCATCAAATGATGGGCATACATCTAGGGTTAAGAAGCCAGCCAAAAGACAAAGGACTTT